CCCATTCGTTTCGTAAGGGAAAAACAATGGTTACCCGCCATCGATTTAATTAATGAATGAACAAGCCCCAGGATGATACTCCATTTCCACTGGCACATCTGAGCCGAGCCAGGCCTCTCATGGCACGGGTGGGGTTTTTTTCCACTGCCTATTTGCACGGCCAGGGCCACGACCTTGATGTGACTGACGGCAGTCGGTATCATGTGAGGAAGATGAACGACATGACATCATCGCATCATCTAAATCCGTCAGTGGCACGTGTTTGGGGAAGAAAAAAAAACTAGCGCTCCCTGAGCAGCACTGGGCTGGCTCGGTACCGGTCCCAGCGTAGCTCGTTTGAGCGGTGGAAAAGGGACACGGGGTGAGAACTCTGCTGCTATTTTTTTCTGTAAGAGCAGCAGCAGCAGCAGCTGCGTGAACAGCCTCTGAGCCCAATGTCTCCGCCACCACCCCTTGTCCGCTCACCACCCCCCCTGTCGCCATCTGTGATAGTAATGGAGACACGGGACCGGCCACGATAACCTTCAAACGACGACGACCTTTCGTTGTGTTGCAGGAGAGCCGCCGATGAGCGGGGTTGAACCTCGCGCGCGGCGCGCACACACGCACACACGCACGCGCTTTTAATGAGAGTTCATTCTGATGATGTTTAACTCTGACGCGGGGCTGCTGGCCGGACGCGCACGATTTGTGCCTCCTTTGCGCTCTCCCCACCCAGCGTGGTGGGGGGGGGGGGGGAGAGTCTGTTGAGTGGATGCGAAGGAATGGCATTTTGTTTTGTGTTTTATAGCCGGCTGGCGAGTGTTAGATGAGGACACGAGAGAACCACCACTCCATGCGTGTTGAACTTCGTTCGCACCGGACGTAAGCCAACCGTGCTCATCGGAGGTGCGGGGGAAGGACAACATACTGAAGACACACACACACACAAACAGGGTTCCAAAAGAAATGAGTTTTCAATTTAGATTTTTTGAAGTGTCGTTGCAACCTTTGGTAGTGCGGTTGCTGGCTGCTTGACGTTTTAAGCCTGTGGCTAAGCATGTGTTAAACAAAGACAAAGGATCCCCCCCTCCCGTATAGCATGCACATACTGTTGGGGCAAGTGGTGTTAGCTGCAGCTATTAAGGTCGGCACGGCAGACGAGGGGGTGGGCGGACAACACCACCGAACCAGTTACTTAGGGGCCGTCCATAAATGACGTCACGCGATTTTGGACCCCCCCCCCTCGTCACACGGCGTCACGAAAAGTCAAATATGACGTCACAAAGCTCGCCCCCCCCCCCCCAAAATAAAACATGCTTCAAATCGCTTTAAACTATTGTCATTGTAGTGCGTAATGTGGCGCTGCACTCTGATGTTGTAGGAGAAAAAAATATTAAAAAGTATATTTAATCAAGTAGAACGTGTTTATATTTATTTAAAGCTGCGCATTTTGATGTGCGTCACATTTCTCAAACCCCGTTCGCCACTTACGTGCCGGTGACGCCGCCACGGCGCCTGTGCCAGGCTAGGTGCACTTTGAAAAACACAGGCAAAGATCCCCCGTATAGCATGTACAGACTGTTGGGACAAGTGCTGTTAGCGAGCACCTATGAAAGCCAGAACGGCACACGAGGGGGTGGGTGGCCAGCAATCGCGCCCGGCCGCCTTTGTCTCCCCCAGTGGCGATGTTTACACACCGCACCGGGTACTCACTTGAGGCCGAGTCGACCTACGGGGAGTCCCATGACCGGTTCAGATAATCGTCACTGGTGTTGGCCGTGAGCGGGAATCGAACCCGGGTCGCCGGGTGTCGCGGTGCAGCGCGTGATAACAGTTGGGGGGGGGGGGGGGGTGAGTGGGGTGAGATGCGAGGACACGTGAGAAGGGAACTTTGGTAATTTGCCATCGCGCAATCACGGGCTGCGTGCATGAGCGTCGGCGCTGAGAACTGTCGACGTTTCATCTCCAGTGGCGGCAACCTCCACCACCCCTCCACCCCGCCCCTCCTCGTCCCTAACGTTGCGATACGGAAACAAGAGTGGGGGGAGAGAGAGCGAGTGAGGGTGAGAGATAACTCGACCTTGTTGTTCGACAAAAGATTGAGATTGGTAACCTCGGAATGCGCGCGGCTTCGTCAGATCTCCGAAGCTCAGCAGCGTTGAGTCTCGATTGTCCCCCTCCGACGGGCGGCTGCCGTGTTGGCACCACCGCAGGTAGCCAGCGGGTGGCTATTGCAGCGACATCCATCGGCTGTACGGTACTTCTATGCTCCCGGGTTCTCTACTGCCCTGCCTTCAACAACCCGCACCGCAAGCGCACGTGTGCTTGTTAAGTCGACGTCTCTGTGCAGTCTTATGAGCCCACGTGTTCTTTTTGACAGTGTAATTCCCAGGATGCATCAATCCCCATGCTTTCCCTCTTCCTCGACCACCCCCACCCCCCATTACCTTTTGCTCCATTTTCTCAAGTTCAAATCTGTGGTTCAGATCCATGCAATGGGAATTGGCGCCGATTGAAAATGTTCCTCTTCGGGCACATTCCGTACATTGCTGCTTTTTTTGTATCAGGGGCCGTCCATAAATGACATCACGCGATTTTGGACGATTTTTGACCCCCCCCCCTCGTCACACGGCATCACAAAAAGTCAGACCCCCCCCCTCAAATATGACGTCACAAAGCTCTGCCACCCCCCAAAAAAAACACATTTCCATTTTGAAAATAAAACATGCTTCAAATCGCTTTAAACTATTGTCATTGTAGTGCGTATTTAATGTGGCGCTGCACTCTGATGTTGTAGGAGAAAACATTTATTTAGTCTATTTAATTAAGTAGAACGTGTTGTCGATATTTATTTAAAGTTGCGCATTTTGATTTGACGTCACATTTCTCACCCCCCCGATCTCTCTCGTCACAAATGTCCCAGCAGGACCCACTCGAGACTCGGTGACGTCTTGATTTGTTTAGTATATACACGTACTGTTTGATTTGTGTATTGTTATCACAGACCGTAATTAAGTATGGTATGGATAAACTGTGAAACATGATGTAATACATTTTTATTTAAAGCTTTCGTGACAGCAGGGATTCATATTCTTGGTTCTTTCGGTAAAGTCATCTAGAAGGGAAACAATAAAATAAGAAAAATACAATTTTATTGTTTTATATTTTTGTATTATTTTATTGGTTATTTATAAAAAAAATACAATTTTATTTTTATATTTTTATTATTTAATTGTTTCCCTTCTACGTGACTTTACCGAAAGAACCAAGAATATGATGTAATAATTTAATTACAATAATGAACGTACCGATAAACGTCGGCACGAACGTATACAAATTCCAACCGAGTTAAACGGAATGACAAAAACGATTAAAACGACGTGAGATGTATAACCAACAGTGCGTGTGCATTTATGCCGCCTATAAGCAAGCCCACGTGCTCTAAGTCCACTGGACTATTGGCGAATTATTCTCACAGCTGTGACAACCCCACGTGACTATCCCCACGCACGCCGATTGGCCCCCTCGCCCTAACCCCCCCCCCCCCCCGGAAGAGGGGGGGGAATCACGCGCCCGTCTGCTCACTTCTTATTGGTTGGTCGACGATTTAAAAATCTATGGGCCCCAGTCTCCCACGTGACGAGGAGAGGAGGGCCCAGTCTCCCACGTGACGAGGAGGAGGGCCCAGTCTCCCACGTGACGAGGAGGGGGGCCCAGTCTCCCACGTGACGAGGAGGGGGGCCCAGTCTCCCACGTGACGAGGAGGGGGGCCCAGTCTCCCACGTGACGAGGAGGGGGGCCCAGCTCCCACGTGGCGGGCCTTCTAAATGGGTCCATTGGTAATTAAAAATAGAGAGATGGACGTGCCGGGAGTTCTCATTAATACTAATGTAAACTCACGTCAGCCCGACACAACAAAGCCGAGGTACGTATGTAGGAGATGCGAGCCCGTGTACGTAACACGTATTGCTCGGCTTGCTTTTGTTGTACTGTACTCTATATGTTCAATTGTCGGCAATGCGTTTCAGAAACGCATTCAAGTGCTGTATATCGTCGACGATCGGCAACGTTCGATAACGTATCCAACGAGCCCTCGCTTATCAACAACATGAAAGCATCAAATGAAGCGTTATTTAACGTGTTCAATTATCAAACGTATGACTATGCTGCCTTTCGATGTTCTCGATCAATAGAATACACACTTGACCACACTTCGCGCCACAAAACCACTGGAGCCGTGTACTTTTAAATCATCTAGAATGAAAACTCGGCGCGGTTGGCTACGTACGGTGCGAAAAAAGTTCAGCATACATACGTGCCATGATATATACTTTAGGATTAGATTATAACACGTACTTGTTTAACACTGGAGTGTTATTTGATTCACTGTTCACGTCAATGCTTTATATACTACTGCACTGTATATATAATTTTGGGAAGTGGCGTTCTGGTAAATGGAACCCTGTGACCAGTTCGATTCCTGGCCTTGGCTAATTTCAGTGATGAATAAAATCTAAACCAGTCCTGGACCCCACCCCCACAACACCATCATCACCATCATCTCATACAACTCACCCTGACCGACCGGCATAGTGAAATATGGTTAAAAAAACAAACTCACCATGACCATCCAGCAGTGGATTGGCAAAGGGTTAAAAACAAATAAGTGCCCTCATTCTAAGGCATCCAAATGATAACATGTTTTCTTAATGATGGAAAAATATAAGAATAGGTTTTAACCTTTCTGGAAATAAAACGGGGGAGGTGTTAAGATATTCAAACACCAAATAGATCCAATTTCCAAGGCATCAAATGTGCAATAACCACACATCCTTGTGGCAAAACATGTGCAATAACCACACATACTTGTGGCAAAACATGCAAACACACATGCTCTGATAATACTGACAAAAAAGGTCCCATAGATTGTTAATAAAAAAAAATCTTAAAACATTTTTTAAAATTGTGGATTCTGTCGAGCATTTAGATTTTTTTGTCTTGCTCCACTTATGTTCCAGGTCTCCCTTGAAGGCAAGAGACTGGTTTAGCCTCTTCTCGGCCATCGCCTGGCTTTGACGAAAGGACGTGCAGAAGGTAACCCCCCGCTCCTTCGCCCCTCGTCACCTCCGCGCACCGGTCAGTCAATTGGCGCTGTGGTTTCGTCGAGTCCAGAATCGAACTCCTTTTTTAATTTACCATTGTGAACGTAGCAGCGTTTCAGTGGCTTGCGGGGGTTTGTCGCATGAATTCAACGCACACGCAACAAATGAGAGAGAAGTTAAAAAAAACATTCTTACACAGCTATTTGGTGCATGTATCGGTGCTCGAAGAAACTATATTTGGAGTTTGCAAGTTCTATCTCTCTCCCCGTAGTCGCGTAGATTTTTATCCTGGACCTCCGGTTTCCCCCCCCCCCCCCATATCTAGAATCAACACGCGTTCAGAGTGTTTGGCTGCGGCACATTTGCGCGTGATATAAGCCACCTCGTTGAGCCATCATTTGTGATGGCTAGGTAGCTTCTGAAAAAAAGAGCTATATAGCTCAGTGTGGCATACCTTGTATATAAAAAAAAACATTGTATTCTTGCGTGTGACAGCAATATGGTTCAGGAGCTAATTGCCAATGTTGAGATCTGCTAGTCACTACGAGAGGGCGCTTCAGGAGCGGAATGTTCGTGTAGTTTTGTGATTCCTCCCTTGAAACAGTGCAGACATACTGTGGGTTTAACTATATGGTCCATAGTTTGGGTTGCTTGGCCACTATCCTATGTCTCGTGTCTTAATTTTTTTTGGATGTATGTAGGAGATGTGTGCATTGGCCTGTTGATGTTCTGATGCAGTTGATGGTAACTCCGGTGTCTTCGAGGTGGAGGAGGAATATCAAAGCCTGGAGTTGCGATGATGTTTGCGTCTCGAGTGGAGGTATTTATTATTCCAGACGTGCGCGTTGTTTCCACTCTTTGTTCGTTGCCCGGCGTTCCTCCGCATCTGGGTGAGATTCTTGGGATGGTGACAGCAGTGCCATCAATCCCAGAAAGGGGGTATCGGGACTTGAGTTGGTGGTGGCGAGGGACGTTGGTGAGGTCTTGGTTGATGGTGAGGTGGTGGTCATTGTAGTTGTAGTTTTTTTGTGTTTAGTTTGTTGTCCTTCACCCTAAGCTCCGATTAGCATGGTTGGCTTATGTACAGTTCGAAAGAGGTTCAACATACATACTTGTGAACTCCTGTGTAGTTTGCAAGTCTCCAGATATGTTGACCAGAACAGGAAGCCATGGGATGGGTGTGGGTTTCAGCACGATATTAATTGATGCATTCTTATACACCCCTACTGAGTGTGTGTGTGCTATGAACCCGGAGACCCGAGTTCAACTTCTCGGCCATGGCTACCGTCGGTGGTGATTATCCGAACCATTCCCGGGCCTTGCCGAGATCGACTCAGTGATGTGAGAACAAATATCATCAGCATTGGGGAGACAAAGGTGGCTGGGCTTAATTTTGACCACACCACACCCTTATGCACAATGCCGCCCTTCATATTTGCTTCTTAACAGCACTTGCCCCAACAGCCTGTGTAGACTACTTGGGGGATCTTTGGCTTTGTCTTCGATTACTCAGACGATTAATTATTTTTGGGTGCGTGGCCTCCCACCAAGAACGATTGGAAACAATTATTACAATGTCTCTTCATTTGGGATCGTGCCCTTTACAGGAACAATTCACAACGGTTATTACAAAGTGGCTTCACGAGAAAGGGGTCGTGTTCATTTTTGTTGTTGTTGTTGCTCTCTTTCTCTCTCTAGAATTGGAACGCGGTAATTATGTCATTAATCTTTTAACATCAACAGATTTATTTTATGTTTGGCCTCCTCGTTCCCCCCCCCACTCCCCCCCCCAAAAAAAAATAACAATGTTCAACTCGCCCGGGTTTATAGGTTACGTTTCGGTCTATACACAAGTACAAAGCCACAAAAATCTATCTGTAACAACTCTTTTCACTCTTCTGGCAGAGTAAGAAAAAAAATCACCCTCTTTTACTCGTTTCTGTTTGAGCATTTAATACATCTTTTATGGTCTGTGAAAAGTCCACAAAGAAAATAAAGGGCTGTTCTCTCTCTCTCTCTCTCCGTCACTCTCTCTCCGTCGCTCTCTCCTCTTTAACCACGTCTGCCCCCCACCTCCACACACACTGCTCCTCCAAAACCTCCCCCCCCCCCCCGGTTTTCGAGTGAACAAAGGGGGCAGCATGTGTGCGTACTTAACGCTCGCACGCGCTCCATCGCAGCGCGCCGCGGATGAGCACGAGCGCGCGCGCGACCTTGCCAACCCTGCCACCTTTTTTCCTCCGCGCTTAAAACCCCTTGTTTGTCCTTTGGCGCTTTGACAGGTGAAGGGAAAACAGAGGCCGCTAATTATAAACCGCGCCACAGAGCGGGCCACGGGTCAGGATCTCCACCCTTTTCTTTCGCGCTGAAGAAACAGGAGAATGGGGGGGGGGGGTGGGGTTTGGTGGGGGGGGGGTGGGAGAGACGCGTGAATGGGACAGAACGGAGAGGGGGAGAGAGGGAGAGAAGCGCAGTGGAGCGCTTGGGGTGGAAAATAAAAGTTACACAGCCCATTGAGGTGCACGCCTGGATGCACATTAGCACGCGGACTGCCAGCCTGACTTTGTTCGTGCACGAACGCCCTCCCCACACCCCCCCCTCCCACCCGCTCGTGCAGGTTTCTCGAATCGCCGGTCTTCGCAAGCTTTACCTTTTCAAGAGTGCGAATCTCCCTGCGTACGAATGCGGATGAAGTCACCGCGGCCTCCCTGCACACACCGCCGCCGTGAACGTGTCCCGACGTGACGTCGCGTGACGCTAATTCATTTGAAGCGATGTCCCCATCACGCGCGGCACAAGAGGCCCGGTCCTCCCGTATCGCCTACACGGGCTGTGGGCGCGGGGGAGGAGGGGAGGAAAGCGCCTATTAAGGCCGCGATGTGCGTACAGGGAGGGGTGGTGTGGCCGGATTTTCATCCCGCCCACTGAGCGAAGGGTGACCTGGAGCTTGGACGGAAAGCCATGGTTTCTGGAGCAGAGACGGCGGGGAGGGGAGTAGTGAGATGAGAGGGGAGAGGTAGGAGAGTGTGTGGAGGAGGGGGGGGGGGGTAGAGCGGGTAATATGGTAGTGCAGCAAGTAGCTACGAAGTGCACTAGCTGGTAGTAAACCAACAGAGATTACCCACTGAATAAACTGGCACCGACCGAATGTGCAATTGCCACCACCGGCTCACGAGACACGACGCTTGCTGATCCTTGAGTGGCGGCTTCTAGAGAACTTTGAGACATGTCGTATAGATATGCAACCACGCATGAGTGCATTCATTTCACAACTGAGCAGCAAGTACGAGCAGATAGATATCTTCAGCCCTGGGTTGGCTGATGCGTGCGTTCCACGCGAAGGGTGCAAACATAAATGCAATTGACGGCGATGACGGCTGTCCCGTGCTCGTTGTCGAGAAGACGCGTCTGCTGCCCGTATTCAGGAAGACGCCGGAGCTGTGCGCTTTGAAATCATCGAGATTGAAAACTTTGGAACCGCTTTTTGTGCTTAGTGTTGATGTCCTTTCCCCCGCACCCCCGATTAGCGCGGTTGGCTACGAACGGTGCGAAAGAAGTTGAACATGCACGCATTCCTCCGATTAGCACATTCGGCTCCGTTAGGTGCAAAACAAGTGCAACATGCGTACATACGTACGTACGGCACACACCGCCTCTGCGCGTAACGCTTGGTTGTGCCGGGTTTTTGGTACATTTCTCACCGACACGCACGGTCGCTGCTGCTCAGAGAGCCACCCCCTTTTCCCTTTCTCCTGCCCCGTGAGCACGTGGCCTCACTCGGGCTTTCGTCCACGCAGTGCCGGATGATCCTAGTAGCAAAAGTAGCTACATATGTAGTAGTAGCTACTACATATGTAGTAGTAGTAGCTACTACTACATATGTAGTAGTAGCTGCAGGCCCCGCACTTTCAAGGGCCCCGCGCTAAATGCTTTCAAGCTCTCAATTCCGCTTCAGTGATTCTGCACTTGCTCTATTATTATAGTACTCTACTGCCTTCAACTTTTATGAACGACTGGGTGTTTAAGGTTAGCGATTTGTTGTATTATCTGGCTGTATAGCAAATGAAAAAATACAAATACTTTACTATACAAGTTCAAAATTTGTTGTTTTAATATTTACGTGCTTTTTTTTTTATTTAGGGCCCCTTTATAACATATACTACAGGCCCCGCACGAGCTTAATCCGGCACTGTATACACAGTATATCTGTACCCCCCACCCTTACCGCTCTCACTTTGTACCGGGCTCTTGTTCAATAAAAAAAAAAAACATTTTTTAAGAAAAAGCAATCGCTGCTGCACGCACGCACGCATGTGTCCCACTCGGTAAGCTTACATAAGCGAGCGTTTGTGTCACGTACGGGTTTATAGGCGCGTGTGCGTGCGTGCGTGCGCGTACATTGAACTTCTTCAGCACCCGTGTACGTAGCCAACCGCGCTAATCGGAGGTGCAAGGTGAAGAAGGGTGCAGCCCCTGCAATTGCCCGCATCGCGCAACTGCTGGCGAAAGGGCCCCCACCAGAGCGATGAGCTCTAGAGAGAGGGCCCCTCGAGAGGAGATCTTTGTTGGCCAACTGCTCCACGCCGGCCGGACGTCTCTGCATCGGGTGGCACTACCCCACACTTAACCCCCCACCACACGAGGGTAAGGGGGGGGGGGGGGTGCCAGAATCTCGCGTCACGCGTGAATGGTGCAGAGGAGGACGCTCACCGACGTCGCGTTGTGCAGGCGGTCGTGCTGCCGACGCTTACAAACGCGTACGTCAGCGGTGGCGTCAAATGTAATTTTTCAAGGGTTCCCATCAATATCTCCTCGTTCCCTCTTCCCAAGCGCTGGCTTCATTTGCAACGGGCGTTGTTTACGCCGGACGTCCTTTTATAACGCATTCCGTTTTGCTTTCGAGGAAGTGACCTGACGCGCCGGCGGGAGTCCGGACGGGAGACGTTTATAGACGTCGCGGCCCTCCTCTGATGCGTCGTTGCGGACGCTGCA